AAAGGTAAGGTCATATGTTGTGATAAAAATTGCTTGCGTCGCCATGTTTTTGTTCCAGTTCTTCCTAACTTGAGCTTTGCTTATTCTGTTTACAAATATTCTCTGTCAGTGCTTCGTTGAGGCTTTACTGAGCTGCCCGTGGCAGGCTGGGTTTCCACCCAGCATCACAGTGCTGAGGGTCAGCCCGCACCGTGCCCTGCCCCTGCGCCTGCCAGATTTGGGCACGGCTCAACAAACCCGAAGGCTGCCAGCCAGCACCGATTTACCCTTTGAAGCCCATGTTGTAGAGGGCAAAAAAAAAATCTACTGAGAACTAAAGCCTGCGGCATCCCTCGGATGGCAGAAATGAAGGTGCTTTGGTTGCAATTTAGGGGTGGCTAATTTTTTCCTGGTTTAAAACCTGTTGCAGTCCCTGGGCAGAGCCCATCCCTTTTCTCTTCTGTGCAGCCTCCTGTAGAGAAATGTGATTTCAAAGTCCCCTTTGCAGCTGCAGGGCAAAGAGGTGGAGAGGGGAGAAAAAGTGGCGTTTGCTCTGCAGCCTGCTGCTTGCAGCAGGAGGGAGCTGGGCGCAGAACTGGAGATTCCAGGAGTGGATGAAAACATCTCTGGATCCAGGCCGGTGTGTCTTGCTCAGGCGAAAAGGTTAAATTAATTGCTAGATCTGGTGCTGGAAGAAAATTTCCCTTCAGCCACGTTCCAGGCTGGCCAGGGGTATTTTGGTGGGGTTATGCATGCAGGGATTATCCATGCTGGAGTTATCCTGTGTGAGGCTATCCCTGCGTGGGGTTATTCCTGAGCGGGAACATCCGTGCGTGGGGTTATCCATGTGTGGGGTTATCCAAGCATGCTCATCCCACCCAGTTCCCGTAGAGGAGCTGGTACTGGCCAGGGCTGGACCAGGGCTGTAGGGACCTGGGGCATCGGTGATGCCCTTTGCTGTCTCCCCATTACTACCTGAGGTAAATTGCAGTTTTTATGTCCGTGACCTTTTAGTGCCTACAGTCTGGATTTACTGTGGGGTTATAAGGGGCTCTTTATGGTTTCATGCTGTGGAGGAGGTTTTATGGGGATTTCTCTGCATCTCACGTTGCCCAGGGATGGGAGGGCCCTGCACTGGGCAGTGAGAGAGGTCCCGTCCCTCCGGCATCCCTCAGCAGGAGCTGTTGGGGACTCAGCAGTTTGGAAATGAAGTCATTTATTCCGCAACCTTAGTATGGCTTTAATGTCTAATATTAGGCAACCGTTTACCTAAATCTCACACCTTCCTATTTTGCAACGCACTTTGGGGTTAGAAACACCCGTCGCTCGGTTGGTGCTGCCGTGCCTCATAGGCGAGGATTGATGGCTCTCAAATCAGTGCCCTAGAAATAGAGATTTTGGTCACATTCGTTCATGAAGATTAGACAGCACCAACGTAATAACTTATCAGTATTTTATTACTGGGAGCAGTTAGTAATCCCAACAGGTAGGGCTTAAACTTCATTGAAACAGGATGAGAATGCGTTACCGGATGAATACAAACTGCTTCTGCTTTGACATAAAAGGGGCATAATGAAAGATGAAATGACTACAGAACTTAACACAAGCCTATGTTTCTCAGAGCAATTAAAAATGACCCTTCAGAAGGGATGCTTTCAAAGGAATAGACATCTCTCTCCTCCCAGGGCAGTCGTAGAGATGTTGAAAATACAGATACCTTCAAGAAAGACAGGTGTATGTAAGCCTAATTCAAGTTAAGGTTGAATCTACAAAACTAAAATTTACCAATGGCATTATCTGGAATTAGAAACTCCCTAACTTCCACCTTTTATCTGATAATTTTCCACTTTCTGTCGCAACAGAAGTGTTTTATACCAGCTTTGTAACACCCTTTTCCTGGTTCTTGGGGGATGTTGCAATTTGCCGAGCGTGCCCAGGATTTGGCTGGCGTGGGGAGAGCAATGAACCCCATCCTCATGCTCGCGCCGCTGTTTTGGGAAGACCTGGGAGCACATGGGCATAGCTCATGCGCCAGAGTGAAGCATCCGGGGGATGAGCCCAAGGTGGGAGGGAGTCGATGCCAACAAAGCGGGGTCCATTTGGGATCCCCCCTTCCCAACCCTTCGAGCCCCCAGCACCCAGCCCCAAAGGCTGTGGGGCACCGCTGGCGGATGGTAGTGTGCCCTGGCACCCCACCAGCTGTGCACACATCTGGCAGGCAGCTCCGGAGCTTGATGCTCACCAGCCAGGGTGCGGGGCGATGCTCCACGACCAACCCTGCCCGTCGGTGCCAGGAGGCAGGCGTTCTCCCCTGCTCCCACACACTTCTGCCCTCCTCACATCGCCTGCCAGTGACTCTGCCAGGCTCGCTGCCTGCGCGGGGGAGCCTGCCCGTTCCCCTCCAGCGGTTTGCACAGCTGACCGTCTTGTTTATTGGCTGTTGGGCAACCGAAGCGGTGAAATAAAAAGGTGAAATGAAGCCTGGCTGGGATTTCGCGGGAGCAGAGGCTGAGCATGGGCTGCAGCAAGATGTGTGCCCCTTCGCTGCTGGGGAGCTGTCGTTCGGCTGCAGCTCTGGCGTTACGGGTGCCTTGGGAGCTATCTCTGGGGCACGAAGACACGTGCATGCCTTGCTTTCCCCCCCTGTCTCCTTGTTTTTTGGCCTATCAAGCTCATCACAGAAACTTCTAAAGTTTTCTTCCCATTTTCTGATGGTTTTGCTGCAAGGGCTTTGCATACATCTGTTCCTCTCCTGGTTGGAATGGGGCTGACTCAGGACTTCATTTCCTATGTGGTAGCCAGAAGAAAAGCAGGATTGAAAGCCCGCTGGTGGCTGCAGGGCTGCTCTTCCACTCCCCAGGCCTGCAGCCCCCCGGCCCCCCAGGTCCCCCCCGGAGCTGACGCATGGGGATGGGGACCACGGAGGTGGGAGCTGGCTGGGGCTGGTGGAGGGCTGGATGCAGCGCTCCTCGTGCGGGTCCCTGGGGTATCCCTGGGCTGGGACACAGGCGATGCTCAGAGATAACCTCTGCAGGATGTGTGCTGACTTCTGACTTGTCTTTCTGGGCCAAAGTCATCAAGATAATAATGTCCAGTTCCCACAGATATTTAGGGTGAGGCTGGGTAAACAGTGATTTTTTAGTTTGTGGGGCCCAAGCCAAAAACACAGATAGCTGGGGGTGGTGGAGAGGTTCTGGTTTGGTACCTTCAGACATGTCTACTGGGGGAAACATTCACTTCAAACATCCAGCCCAGGGCTTAGCTCCATGTGCCTCCAAGTCCTCTCAAACCAACACTGATGCTGCCACCTCCACTCTCCTCACCTCATTTCCCCAACTGTAAATCATTGATCATGCTACTTGGTAAGGACATTTAAAGTCAGAGAAAAAAAAGCTCTGTTTCAACCTAACTGTTATTGCTGCCATTATTATTATTGGCTTTTAAGTATAAAGACAGTGTGTTGAAACCTGGGAACTGTACAATTAAGGATGCCTCAAACACTGTCACGTCAATGTCATAAAACAAGCTGAGCTTTTTCTTTTCCTTTTGACACGTCAAATCTTCAGTCTGTCACCAGCCTTAACCCCACATTCGCTGCCATGGAGATTTTTGTAATGTGTTGGACATTCCTGATGTGTTTGTAAGCAGGAACGGGGCGGTTCCAGTGACCCAGGCCAGAGGGATGGGGTGGTTTGTGGGTGACCAACAGCGCAGAAACTTTCTGCGGATGCTGTTTGAGAGGCACGGATGAGCTTGTGGCCCCATTGCCATCTCCAGCATCTCCTTACATCTAGGCATGAGCTGGAGGCAGGTGGACACGTGGGGTTGGCTGGTAAAGCTCTTGTAGAAGTGGTGTGTCCTGTGTCTTGTGGTGGTGGTAACTGGACTGTTGGGTTTGACACCTGTTTGATTTTAACCTGGAGTATCCGCACATTGAGGTCTGTGTTAACTGTCAGCTCAGGTGTGTTTTGTTTTAGGAAGTACCGTTTTGCTTGACAGTAGAATCATAGAATCATAGAATGCTTTGGGTTGGAAGAGGCCTTTAGAGGTCATCTAGCCCAATCCCCCTGCCATAAGCAGGGACATCTTCAACTACACTGGGTTGCTCAGAGCCTCATCCAACCTGGCCTTGAGTGTTTCCAGGGATGGGGCCTCCACTGCCTCTCTGGGCAACCCGTTCCAGTGTTTCACCACCCTTATTGTAGAAAATTTCTTCCTTATATACAGTCTAAATCTACGTTCCCTTAGTCTAAAACCGTTACTCCTTGTCCTGTCAAGGACTGCTTTGTCCTTTGATGGCATTCGTGGTGAGCACCTGATAACAGGTCAATCAAAAATGCCGAAGCTGACCCAAAGGCAGCATCCTCCCCTGGCACAGGGCAAGCTTGCAGCACGTGCTGAGTCCCTCCGGGGTGCCAGCACCGTTGTGCCCAGCCCCTCAACGTGATCAAAGCACCAGCGGGGTGACATGGTGATCCTGCTCCCATGCCCATCTCCCCATCCCTGGTCCCCAACACGGGGTCTCCTCTTGCTCCCCCAGGCTCTTCGCGGTGAAGTGCGCCGGGTGCCTGGAGGCCATCGCGCCCAGCGAGCTGGTGAT